ACTTGATCTTAAAGGTCTTTTCCAGCCCGAGTGATTCTATGATTCAGTGACTCACGTGTCACTTGGAGAGGATGACACCCTCAGCACAGCTACTCTGCTGTCCAAGCACAGAGTCCCTGCAGTAAGGCTCAGCTCAGTGCTTTCTGCTCAGGGCAGCAGCTGATGCAGGCTGGGCTGTGAGCTCCATGCTGATGGCAAAGGATGGGTGCTCCTCCTTCCCTGGGCCCTGCTGCAGGCATCTGCCTCCCTGCTCTGGGTCCTGCTTTGCTGGGCTTTGGGGCCAGATGGGAAGCCAAGGCATGTGGACACTTGCAGTGATGTCTGAGGCTGCTCTTGTCTTTTTTTCTCCTTAACAGCCAGCTCTGATCACGTAGGATTGTCACACCAGTGCTCTGCCCACCTCTTCCCTTGGCCCTGGCCAAGTTAGAGGGAATTCCAACAGTGTTTTTTGCCTGTAAGATGCCTGATCCTCTCCCTGTTTGCCAGGCTCTGTTTCCAGGCCCAGAAGGGTGATGAGGACATGGAGCACGTGTGCTTGTCCTCTGCCATCCGAGGGCTCCAGGACAGCTGGCAGCTTTTAAACCTTCACCTGGGAGGTGACTCCAAGCTGCTCTTCTCCTGCCAGGGTCTCCTCAAACTTGCAGCTCCATCCAGTGGCTGGTCCAGCATGGGGACCCATGGGAAGGTTCTCCTCTAGCCCAAGCTACACCCACAGAGCCCAGCTGACCTGGGCACTCCTGGGTCATGGTTGGGGAACTCCATATGTCACCAAACAGCTCTCTGCTGAGTTTCCCAATACCTCCTCCAGGAACATGGTTAAAGTTAAAGCTTTAATGTTCAGGATGTTTCCCCTTCTCATGTCCTGTGGGAGGACAGTCTCCTGAACTCTCTGCAGTTCCCTTTCACTTCTGCTTTGGGAGCCTCCAGGGCACCCTAAGAAATACCCTGCATAGATTAATGTCCACCAGGTCTGTCTTCAAACTCTGCCACAGAAATGTCTCTACAAAATTTTCCTCTGCATGGCTACGAGAAGTCTGCTCTGTGGTGCTTTGTCTGTCATGGGATGGTGGGAATTGGTGTGTGTGCATCAGAGATCAGAAGCCCCCTCAGTTTTGGGGGGAAAGGTGACCCTGATGTACACATAGCTTGAGAAAGCTTGGTCAAAACCTCTTCTCTGATTGCCAGACCCTCCTGCTGAGGTCTGAGCTGCCTCTTCTCTCCAGCACTTCCCTTGTGCACACTCGCTGCCTGAGATGCCACAAAATCACAGAACCTTGTGGTCACCTCTCCTCCAGCCTTGGCCAGAGTGCTCACGTGGCAGGACAGGAGGCAGCTGGAGCAGGAGGGAGGCCCTGAATTTGAAGGTCCTTTTTGGTTTGCTTGTGGAGTCGCATGGCTGGGCACAGCAGGGCCAGGCAGCATCCCCCGGTCCTGAGCTTCCCCTCCTGCTTGCATCTTTGGCTCTCTTCCCAAGAAGGCCCTTAGTTGTTTTTCAGGCTTGGAGCCATCTTTTCTGATGGAATCCAGCAGGAACAATGGCCAGTAGCAAATCCTTAGGAAAGAGTAAAGCCAGGGCAAGCTTCAGTGATTCTAACCCTGCTTTAGGTTCTGGGAGCCTGGTGCTCTGCGGCTGGGGGCTTTCCCCAGGGAAAGGTTTTACCTTTGGGTTGAAGAAGCTGTGGTGTATCTCTCTGTTGTGAATATGTCCAATTGTTCTGGTATCCACAGCAACTCAGGGCTGTGACTTGAATGGTTTAATGACGTTGGGGTGGAAGAAATACAGCCTTTTGTTACAAATCTCAGAGCTAAAGGCATCTGATGCTCTCGCAGGCATGTGTGCACTGGCATAGTGATGGTCCTTTTATATCCTCTTCCTTTACTACCAAATCCTAACATTGTTTTGCCTTTTTACTACCACTCTGAGGATTCTTGAGCAAACATCCCCTGGTCCTGGCAACTTTTTGTTTCTTGATTTGTTCTGTTTTCTTTTCTCCTGATATTTCACTATGAGGCAGAGCCTCTAACCTGCCTTCTCTAAAACTCTCTTCCAGGATGGGAACCTCCCAGGGCTCTTTGTAGGATGCAAAGAATTCACATAACTGCTGATATGACCTCGTGTTCCTTTAGGTGTTATCATGGCTTTCCACTGAAACTGCCAGTGTTTAAGCCCTTTGCTGTTTTCCTTGTTTCCAAACAGGAAATGAAGCCTGCTGGTGTGTGAGTGCACAGGCTCGTTTGGCAGCAACCTGGTCCTGTAGGGAGAGATTATTTTTGCCCTGTTTTAAACCTTGGGGTTAAGGTTGTGTGACAAGTTCCAGAGTGCCCACTTGTGTACTTGGAGTAGACATCTGGTGAGGATGGAGGTGTGCATTGGGTGGATAAGCCCCACTTGAGGAGCCTGGTTCAGCTGTCCAGGTTCACTCTAGGTGCAGCTTCAGTGCTTGGTCATGTAATAAAGTGAAAAGTGGATGGAGTAGAAGTTACTTTGCATTGGACTTCAAGAGCAGTGAAAGAGTATGTCCACACAGTAGTCATGGCAGCTGAGCTCCTAAAAGCTGATTTAATTAGTAGCTGTAATGATGATTTGGGCAGTCAGGCAATCATTAACTCTTCACTAAAGCCTCTGATGAGGTGGTGGGTCAGTGTAGGGCTGAGGTCAAGACACTCTTGAAGATATGGATGATTGCCCAGCCTGTCACGAGGCAACGACAGTATAGCAAGTCTGCAGCACAGAGAAGTCCTGTCTTAGGAGGACTCTCATCTTCTCTCTTTGCTTTGTCTTTCAGAAATGTAGGTGGCAGCTGCTGCCTTTGAAGGACTCGCACCCATCTGACCCTGCGCAGTGCCTCCGACTGCGACCATGATCTTCTGCATGCTGCTGTTGGCCTCACTGCCTGAGCCATCTGGCACCGAAGTCAACCCTGGTAGGCAGCTTCCAGGCTGGGGGAGGGCTCTGATCCCCCTTTCATGTGCTCATTCTCAGCCTTTCTTTGCCCCTCATGGTGAATGTGTATGAATTTAACAAGTGCTTGTAAATGTGATCGCTGATGTGGTTTGTGAACGTCCTCTGGACTGAGACAGCCTTCCTTGGCAGCTCTGCTGGAGTGGGACACCTCTCCTGACAGTCCCAGGAGGGCTCAAGCACATGGATATACCCCATTCTCTGTCCACCCAGAGGTTCTGTGCTCTCAGCAGCCGTGTTTTGAGCTTTGATTGTTATCCCTTCATCACTTTGACCGTGTGGCCTGCAGAACAAACCTGGCTCTGGATGGGCTCAGAGATATGTGCTTGCTGTGGAAAGCAAATCACCAGTTAGCAAAGTATCAGCCACAGCTCTGCAGCCAACAGGAGGGGTTCTGGAGAGAGAGGTGTGGAAGGAAAGGTGGAAAACACCACCTGGCACAAAGCTAGGGTGGAGACAGGGATATGAGCCTGTGAGGCCCTGTGGAGGGGATGACCTCTTACCCGACAGCATTTGGCAAGTTATAATCATGATGGAGATAAGTAAGATAATGGTCTGGGATATATTGCAAAAATCCCCATAATGAGGTGGTTTGAGCTGGAGACAGTCTGTGAAATATGAACCTAATCCTCTCCCAGCTTGGCTGAAGGTGTGATGAGGCAGCAGTGCTACCCTGAGGGCCTTCCCTTGCTCTGCTGGGCCTGACTCTGTCTGGTTGGAGCCCTCTGACTGTGTCTGGCTGTGACCCTGCTCTGGCCCGTGGATCTTTGCAGAGGTTTGGGGTTGCACTGCAGGTGAGGCCCGTGGGGGAGCTCAGCAGGCTCTCCTGGGCTCCCTGTCACACGGCCAGTCCCCGTGCTGTACCCCCCTACATGTCCAACTTGAGCTGGGGTTGCCACCTGGTTCTGATGGTTAAAACCTAGTGGAAGAAGAGGGAGGGCAGCAGCTAGAGCATCAGTCACACACAGATTCCTTTCATTGGTGTCAGGCACAGAATTTGGCACAAAGGTGCAGGAATATCTCCCCCCAACACCAACAGCCCCTGGTGCCTGGGGTGGGCTCTGAGCACAGCGCAGATTCCTCTCGGTGGTGTTAGGCACAGGATTTGGCACAACTGAGGGTGCAGGAATATCTCCCCCCAACACCAACAGCCCCTGGTGCCTGGGGTGGGCTCTGAGCACAGTGCTGTGCTCCCACCCTCTTGCAGTATCCTTCTCCACCAAGAAACAAGCCTATAGCTTTGCTCACACTTCTCAGCTCTGCCTCTGAGTTCCTGAAGCAGCTTTGTGCCTCTGCCCCAGGGGGCTGTGCCCTGTTGTCCCCAGCCCAACTCCAGCACACCCATAGCCCAGCTGATGCTCCTCGGCTGTGGTGCCCACAGGCTCCATTCATCATCTTCTCCTGGCCTGCTCCAGGAGAGGTCTGAAGCACCTCCTGCATTGTCTTCTCAACCAAAGGGGCTGCTTTGTGGATGATTCAGATTGATGTAGGAAGGGTCCCATGGAGTCCTCCTGGCCAGCATTAGCTGTTTGGGTTCCCTAAGAGAGGGGAGCTGTGACCCTTTTCTGAGCATCGCGTCCTGTCTGCCTGGTGGGTGACTGTGTCCCTGAGTGTGTAGTAAAGGGTCAGGGCTAGCTAGGCAAGTGTCCTGGTGGCATCTAAACACAACCCAAGGATGATTTTGCTCGAGAGGATGTGTGTGTTGGTGAGAGCCTCATGCTTCTTGTTTTGGCAAGAGCCACGGCCACCTGTAGAGTGCCTCCCTCAGTGCCAGGGACACTCAGGCTTCCATCTGCCAGCCCAGGGTTTGGGAGCGAGGGAATTTTGTTAAGGATTGCCATAAATCCCCCAGAGTCTTTCCCAGCTAGCAAGGTGTCTGTCTGGCATTGCTGTGGGGTGTGCACTTGACCTTTAAATAAGGTGTGACCAGACAGAACTCCACTGCAGAAACACAGAAACCCTTTCTGCTTTCAGATGATGACCTCACCCTTTTGGAAGACATTCAGGTATTTACCCATAGTTCAGCAACACACAAGCTTTCCAGCAATAGATCAGATTGTACTGGTCTGTGGTGGGACAGGTAAGAGTGAAGACAGTCAGGGCTAGCTGGGTTTCCTAAACTTTTCTGCATCAGAGCAGGGTTAGAGCTCTGGGCTTGCTTTCAGCAGCCACAATCATCATGCTCGATCCCAGCCAGACACCAGCTGCCTCCCAGTGAATTCTTCTGTAAACAAGCCTCTTAAGAAACCTCAGACATCTGAATGAATGTTCTGGGTGAGAGCAGAGGCCCATCCAGCTCAGTGTCCTGCCTCCAGAGGGGCAGACACACAGCACTGCTTGACCCTGGGTATGGGCTCAGCTCCCTGCAGGCTGCTGCTTAGGAGCTGCCTGAGCTAGCACTTGTTTATTTGTCTGTGGTAGCTGTGGGTTTGTCTAGCTGATTTCTGAACCTCTGTGAACCTTTGACACTCAGTGTTTAATGGATTAGGGATGTATAGGTTGATTTTGAAGTGTTACCTGATCTTTTGATGCTGCCTGGTTCTGGTATTTTGAGAGACAGTGGGTAATAGTTGAGGATATAAATGATCCTGGTCATGCTTCACAGCTCTTTTGTTATGATGAGGCTGCTGATCTTTGCTTTTGCATCATCTCTGTTGCCTTCTCTGCCTTTTGATGGCAAAGGCAGGAGTAAGAGCTCTGCTCCTTATCTGTCTGGCCTCTGACAGTGAGTACAGACAGTGGTGTGATGGTGTTTTCTAGTTTGTTTTGTATGTGTGCCCATGCTTCCTTTTTCTGTATTAAATAATCCAGTATCATCATTGAAACATTGTCATCTCCTTTAGAAAAGTCCTTTTCCTGTTTTTTTTTTTTCTGAGACTTGCCATCAACTATGTTTTTGTCCTTTTAATTGTTTCCTGATTTAATCCTGTATAATTTTCTTTTTAATCTATTGATGTCAGTGTTGACCAAAATAGCTTGCTTGCCTGTTTTGAATACTGAGCCTTAATGAACACATTAAGATTTTGAGCTTTCTGAAACATCTCCAATATTCCAAGACATGTTTAAATATTTGTGTCAGGAGGGAGAGCTTGGCCAGCTTGGATTGGGGAGCTACATCTGCACTGTCTTGGGTGTACTGAGCTTGTAGTGCCCCGTGGCTTGAGCTAGTTGTGTCTGTACTCCCTGGAGGCACCAAGCTGGAGTCTTTTGATGCCTGGAGAGAAATGCTTGAGGCTGGAGGCAGGGAGCAGACCAGGATGGGGTGGTCTGGTGTGGATGGTCAGGGGCTCATGCTCCAGTGTCAGCTCTAACCTGCAGATGTTTCCATAAGCTGCTCTAGTCAGCTGTCCTAGAAGCTGTTTAACTTCCCTCTGCACTGGTGAAAGTGATACTTGTGCCTGTTTGAATGCAAGTCAAGCATCCCGTTTATTCCAGAAGGAGAAGAAAAATCTTTAACAAATGCTTCCCTTTTCCATCACATCATTATTGATAAATGATTTTCCACTCTAAAATACGTCTCTGCAACCATTAACACTAGCAGGGGTTTGGATTTCATGCTGTTAAAATTTCTCTGTGAAGTTTTTGCCTTGCCAGGACTCTTCTGAATGATACTGTGAGTGTATTTCACGATTTATAATTTCAGTTGATGGTAATTAGGAAGTATTTCATCCTTTTAATTGCCATTCTCTATTCTATCATTACCACGTTTATTCCTCAGGCATGACAGTTTTTTAATTAAACTTCTCTTGTGATTTAGAATGGGTACTGATCCTTTTTTCCCTCTCCTTGCTTGTGTTCCCATTTTCAGCTATATGCCGTTACCCTTTGGGGATGCACGAGGGAACGATACGAGATGAGGACATCACTGCTTCCAGCCAGTGGTACGACTCCACAGGACCCCAGTATGCACGGTGGGTTCATCTCTGGCAAAAAAAAAGTCATTTTTCCTTCTAGATATCCAGTATGGAGTTAAGGAAGAAGTTCCCTCACCCTTAAAGAAACCTGTGTGCTTAGCTTGGTCCCTGCGTCCATATTAAATCTATTTAGTGCTCAGTGGAAGACCAAGAGGCAGTGGGCATGGCTGTCATACAGGAAATTCTGATTCAGGATAAAAAAAATATCCCTTCCCATGAGAATGAAGTGTTGCAACAGGTACCCAGAGAGGTGGTGATGTCTCAGTGTTTGGGGATTTTCAGGACTTGGTTGTATTAAGGCCTTGAGCAACTCACTGTTGCTTTGGAGTCAGCCTTGCTGTGAGCAGGAGGTTGGACTAGAGACTTCCAGAGGTTGCTTCCAACCCTCATCTTCCTATAGTTCTGTGATTAAATTTCTAATGGATTTGTGACTTACAGGTCAGCTAGTGACAGTGCCCCTGGGATTCTTGTGGAGTACTTTAAATCATAGGAAATCATTTATGAGGATGAACTTTTCAACACTTTCCTGTTGAGGAAATGGGCTGTGTCCACTTTGACTCAAAACCCTGGAAACTGCAGAGATAAGGAGATGGTAAAGGCAGCCAGAGGATTTTCTTTCACTGTCAAGCAGTCCTTCTCATGAGCCTGGCTTTTTTTTTTTGGCATTTGGTTCCTCTCAAAGCTGACGATTTGCAAAACATCTACAAATGTCAGTTCCCTTAGAATTGCTTGTAGTGATGATATCAAACATTCACACAGGTTTGGTGCAAGGCAGATGAATTTCAAGTTAGTGTATATTTTTATGATGAATTTAGGCAGTCCAGAATCATAAAATTCTCCCAGGGCTTGATTATTTTTGCTTAGTCTGCAGTAGAGCAAAGATGCTGTGTCATGGGTTTTAATGGAGGCTGAACAAGCCTGTGGGACTGAAAGCCTGGAGACTTATTTTGTACTGAGGTATGGCTTATCTCCAGTTCTGCAGATACCTCAGGCATCACCATCTGTTACCAGCATCTCTCTGCTGGCACAGCTGGATGTCCACAGGGTGGAGACATGAAGGCACCCTCTAGCTGACTTCATTTTATTAGGGGTCACAGATGTCCTCTGCAGATGTCTGTCCCAGGTCACTTCACAGTCACCCTTCCTGCCTTTCTTAGAACTTCTTTTACTTGCCACTTCACTGTAAGGAAGTCTTACACAAACAACAAACCTGAGACAAAAAACCTTCTCTAGCCTGTGCTTTGACCTTCCATGTTTCCTTCTGAGTGCTGCCTGCCTTGACCTGTGGGGCTTGGCTCTTGGTGATCCTGGCAGGTAGAGGTGGGATGGCTGTCTGGAAGCCAAGCCCTCTGAAAGGCAAGGGCCCTTCAGGGCCTTGCTGTGCATTAGGAAATCCCTGTGCTAAAACACCCACAGGGGCTCTTTGTCTCTGGATAGATTTTTCATGTGGCAAGCTCACCACCCTGTGGCTTGCACAGCTGAGCCTGCAGGAGCCCAGGTGAGGCAGCTCCTCCTCCAGTGGCCCCAGCTGCTGTTTGCTGCAGCACTCTGCTCCCCAGGCAATCCATCTGCCTCCAAGGGTGAGAGGTTTAGTCTCTGTGGCCAGTACCACGATGTTCAGGTTGGAAGCAGACACTCTCACATCATACTCTTAGCAGTGTCCTGCACAAGGAGCTCTTCAGAATGAAGGAAATGTGGAAAATGCGTTGAGATAACCCAGGATAATTTGGAGATCATAGGTTTGGGTTGGAATACCCCTTTCAAGGTCATCTAGTCCAACTCTCCTGCAGCCAACAGGGACATCTGCATCAGAGCCCCAGCCAACCTCACCTGGAAAGGTTCCAGGGATGGGGTATTGCCCACCTCTCTGGGCAGCCTGGGCTCACCACCCTCAGAGTCAAAAATTTCTTCCTTCTCTCTACTTTAAATCTCCCTGATTTAGTTTAAAACCATCACCCCTTGTCCTGTTGTAACAGGCCCTGCTAAAAGGTCTGTCCCCAGCTTTCTTGTAGGTCCCTCTAAGTACTGAAAGGCTGCAGGAAGGTCTCCCAGTGGGCAGAGTTTTTCTTTCTAAAATGTATTTTAAAGATAGCTTCTCTTTGTGCTTTTTAGAGCTGTAGGAGGTGGTTGAGCAGAGGTTCAGGCCTTACAGCCTGAGGTTTAGGAGGAGTGTTCACATTACCAGCAAGGTGTTAAAAAGCATGCAGTGTGCAGTTACCTACTGAGTAGCCTAGTTGCTTCTGATCAACATGGAAATGTGTGTCTGGGAAAGAGAAATGACTTCTAACAGTTAACAGAAGACACCTAAACTGGGGGAGTTGTTCTGGAAAGGACAGAACTGGCTCCAGGACTCTGTCTCAGTCGACCATCCCCAGGAAGGGGCGAGGTAGCTCTCCTAGTCTCATAGACCTTTATTTTAACATGTGTGGTTCTCCCCTCAGGTTACAGAGGGAAGAGGGGGACGGAGCCTGGTGCCCAGCTGGCTTGTTGCAACCAGAAGACGTGCAGTTCCTCCAGATTGACCTGCACAAGCTCTTTTTCATCACCCTGATAGGCACTCAGGGCCGACACGCCCGTGCCACGGGGAAGGAGTTTGCCCGCGCCTACCGCCTCGACTACAGCCGCAACGGGGAGCGCTGGATCTCCTGGAGGGATCGCCAGGGCAGGAAGGTGAGGGGCTGGCAGGGGCTGAGCTGGGGGCATGCAGGAGTCAGGCCACAGAGAACCAGGCTGTGGAAAGCTTCCCTTCTGTGTACTGCTTGGAGCGTACACAGCGTCACGTCTTGGAGCGGGACTTGATCCCGACTCTTCTCTCGGGCGTTCGGGGTCTTCTGCGTGAGGCCTGTGTTGCATAGAGAGTTTGGGTTGAAGGGGCCTCTAAAGGTCACCTAGTCCAACCCCCCTGCAGGAAGCAGGGACATCTCTAACTAGGTCAGGCTGCTCAGAGCCTCATCAAGCCTGACCTTGGAGGTCCCATCCCTGGAGACATTCACCACCTCTCTGGGTAACCTATTCCAGTGATCTGTCATCCTCATGTTAAGAGCTTTTTCCTACTGTCTAACTCAAATTTACCCTTTTCTGGCTTAAAGCCATTACCCCTTGTCCTGTCACTACAGACCCTTGTGAATTAGACCCTCCCCTGCTTTCTTAGGAGCCTTTCAGGTACTGCTAGGTCCTGATAAGATCTCTGTGGAGCCTTCTCTTCTCCAGGATGAACAAACCCATCTCTCTCAGCCTGTCCTCACAGGAGAGGTGCTCCAGCCCTCTGATCATTTTTGTGACTTTCTTTTGTGTTTCCTGTGATGTTGGACTGTTATGCCCCTGACCTGCTCCCCCAAATCCCAGCCTTTGCCATGACTGAAAACTGGCTCTTCATTCCCTTTCTGTCCATGCTCAAAACATGTGAATGTCCCTCCACCAGCCAGACACTTGACTCTAAATGGGAAGCTGCAGATCAGATGCCTGCTTTGTGATTACAGGCAGGGAGGGGTGGCAGGGAATGGAGATTAGTTTCTAGATGTCTGATAGTAGTGTTCATTGTAAGGAGTGATGAGGAGGAAGGACTTGAGAGGTAGGAAATGCACTGAACACACACTAGAGAAGGATTCCCTGCTCACCACCATTTGTCTCCTGCTATCTCCAGACCTGAGCACCCAGCTCAGCAGTGGTGGTGCTCTGGTCATGTTCATAAGCCTCTATCAAACTTCCCCTGGGAAGAATTCCCTTCTGTCATCTGCAGCTCATCCAATCCCTGGGCTTCAGGTTGGCTTCTGGAGTCTGAACACCTAAAGCAGACTAGGAAGGTACTGGGTGTGGTGACATTTTCGTGCACTGGGGTGCTTTGAAGTCTGTGGGGTCTGTGTTGCAGTATTAGGTAACAGCTTCTAGCTCATTAGTGAAGTATTTCCTCACTCAGACCTTTGAGCTTTTTGGCCATTGCCATTCCTGTTGTACAGGTACCATGTCCACCTGTTCTGTGTCACAAGAGACCAAAAAGTTTTCCCTCCTGGTGTCCTTAGAGAAGATCCTTCTGCTTCTGCTATTCTGGATGTACACAGTGAGATGAAATTCTGCCATTTCAGCTCCTCTGAAAATTGGCTTTCCATAAAACATTTTTCAAAATGTGTCACCAGGAGGGAACATTTCCTGTTAGTGAATCCATATTTCAGAAGCATTGCTGTCTGGTCATAGAATTTGATCAAAATGTCCTGTAGCATCATTCAGACCTCAGAATGAGGTGCAGATGGAGCTGGAAAATCCTAATCTACTTATTTGTATACATTAGGACAACCTCTTCCAGTCCTGCAGTTGATAGATGCCCTGCCACTGGTATTTCAGAGTGTGAGTGACTGTGTGAGCCTGTCTTGGCACAGAGCTCTGTCCAAGGGGATCACACAAATGGCTGCAGCCAAAAAACCCCAAACAAGCTCCTTCACTGTGATGCTTAGTTTCAGACATGGACATGTAGCACATGTTGCTCCTCACCAGGGGAAGTCACCTCCAGCTTTAATTTTCTCAGTAAAGGCAGAGGGTCAGTTTGATGTCCTCTTGTCTGACACCAGTTGAGGGTGGTTCCCTTCACTGGCACTAATGTTGCATGACTTGATGCTGTTAAGTCCTGGTCCCTCATCATCTTCTGGTTGTCAGCTGCCTACAGCTGGTTCCCAGCAGCACCACTTCATTCCTGTTGTTGAGAGCATGGGTAGTGGCTGGGGCTAGAAACTGATGCTGAGTTTGTTCTACACACATCTGCTTCACTTCGGGGTGCTTGGACCTGAGGAACTGTGTGCTCAATAGCAGCAACCCCACCTTGTGGAGGTGCTGTGCAAAGTGCATCGTGGCTTTTGCTTCTCTCAGAAGATGTCTGTACAGACAAAAATGTCAGCTCTTCCACTCTGGGGCTGCTGCAAAGGTACCTTTTTCTGAGGGGATATGGCTGAAGCTCTCTTACTCTGTCCATTTAGGACTTTTTGGCTCATCTGCCACCTGAGAGATTCCCTGACAAAGGGTCAGCTCCAGAGGATCTGTCCAACTTGTGTTGATGATGTGGGATATTCTGCCATATGCTGTCTCCTCTTGGGTTTTATTTCTTCTCAGCAAAGTCTTGTGGAGCCAGCCTAGGTGGCTTCCAGGTCTCCTGTCTTGGGTTAATTGCTGTCACTTGCTTCCTGAAGACAAGGAGTTACTAGTGTCCCTACTCCACTGGAAGGAGTCATGGGTGTTTCTTCTAGGAAGAGGGGTATTAAGAGGCTGCAGATTAAAAGCCTGTTGAGGGACTGAAGAGGCTGAGGGAGTTGAGCTCCCTTGCTGGCTTGCTTGCTCTTTTCTTTGGTCTGTTCCTGGGACTGTGCCCCTTTGCAGAGCTGCCCAGCCAGGTGCAGGAGCCTGCTTCACAGCTATCCTGGTGCAGACCAGTAGGCCACCAGATGTGTCTGGCTGTTCTTCAGGGACATGCAGTCCTCTGAGTGGTTTCTTTATGATACAATGAGCTCTTTCACTTCTCAATAGACTCCCCAGCCACACTGACTCTCTGGAGAGCTTCCTTGCTGCTGTGAGGAGCAAGCCACCGTTCTGCTCCCTTGTTAGCCTCCCTCATCTTTTAAATTGCTTGTGCATTAACAATTACAATCTGCATGGTCTTTTGAGTAACTTCAGCCTCTGATTCATCCTTCCCACCTGTAGCATCTTTAAACAGGATTCCTCACACTTGTCATTCAGGCTTTTGACATCAGAAGTGTTCTTAATTTTTCCGTAGGTCCAAAACCTTTAAAAAACAAAAAAAATCTCTTGGGCTCTTTGTGTCTGCTGCTGGGGGATTGACAGCTTCACCTGTTTCCATACACTGACTGCCAAAATAACTAGTGGATTGTTCCCAGACCCATAGTGAGGCTGAGGGGAAGGGGAGGGAGAAAGTCCTCGCCCGATGAGACATCACTCCAGCAGGCTGGGATGGCTGTGGCAGTGCTGAACACTTTGGTTCAGGACATCTGACCTTCATCCCCCAAACACTGCAGCACTCTGGAGTCTTGTTGGCTTGTAGAGAAAGTACATCAGGACCCTCCACCAGGTCACTAGGATGAGAGCAAGTGCTCAGTTACCTCTTGCTAGAATGCACATGGAGACTCTCCTGGAGGAGATGTTCCATCCTGGTAGCTGGAGCTCTCTGCAATGTGCAGTCTACACCTACATTCATCTCCCACCTGCCCTTCTCCTCTCCCTTGGAGTAGTGCCCAGTGTGGGTCTGCAGTGGGCAGGAGGTGAAATGGCAGCACCTCCACCCTGTAAGCCACAGACCAGGCAGGAGGAGAGGAGCAGCAGCAAACAATCCTCTGCAGATCCTGCCTGGGAAAGCAGCCCAGTCTCAGGTGCCAGGGTGCACATACACCACTGTACAAAGGGACAGCAGGAGAGGGGGAAGCTGCTGGTAAGGATCTCCCTTCTCCAGGTGATCCAGGGCAACATCGACACGTACGACGTGGTCCTGAAAGATCTGCGGCCCCCCATCATCGCACGCTTCATCCGGGTGATCCCCGTGACAGAGATGCCCATGACTGTCTGTATGAGGGTGGAGCTCTATGGCTGTGTCTGGTATGGTGAGTAGCAATCCCCCTGCCCCTCACTGGGAGTTAGCCCGTGCACACCACTGACTGGGACTCACCCACGTGTGCAGAGGGAATCCCAGCCCCACAGAACTGCTGCTGGTGGTCCTTGTCATAAACAAAAGGGTCATGTGGAGAGAGGGAGGATGGAAGGCAGCTGCTGCTGTGTTTCTGAGGTATATGGCCTTCTCTTTTTAGATGGTTTGGCATCCTATAGCATCCCTGAAGGAGGGACAGTGGCAGCTCCTGGCTCCCCCATCGCTTATCTGAACGACTCGACCTACGATGGCTTCCAGGAGCGCAGGTGGGAGAAGTCATCCTGTCCTCTCTGTCACTCTGCGAATGATCTCTTCTTTCCTGCTTGCCCTGTCGCTAGTATCTTGTATCCCAAATGCTGCTTTGAGACCTCCAGACCTGTGGTGTAGCCTCCTAGTTCTCCAAAGCACCATGGCTTTGTTATTCCAGGCCCTTTGATGGGTTGTTAATTGCTCTGCTGAAGGAGGGTGTGGGCTCAGGATGCATCAGGTTTCTTTCCCCCAGCTGACAAAGGCTGGCAGGAAAGTATTTTTTTTTTTATATTGGGAGTTGTTGTTGCTTCTCTTGAAAAAGAAGAGTGTGTCCTTACACAGCTACAGACTGTCTTTGTTCATGGTTTCCACTTTTACATGATGTGATGACACAGTCCTGATGTGTCTGATTTCCTTAGAGCCCTCATCACTCTGGGTCTCTAATTATGACCAGATTCATTGCACTGATTTGCCTGTTGGTTCAGGTATAGCTGCTGCTGATACTGCAGATCATAAGGCACTGCTACTCTCCTGTTGCCCCACGGTGGAGGGGGAGATCTGGCTGGACCTTCTACCTGTGCAGTCCCAGGGTCCCTGGAGCAGATGAAGGTCCTTCCCCTCTTCATCACCTTTGCTTCTGCAGTTTGGTAACTGAAATGCATTCTCTAGCAGACTGCATCTTAAACTGTTGCAGGAGGTCTCAAGGGGTAACTGGGCATCCGAGAGTGCGCCACACCTGAACTCTAGGCCTGCACTTGATACCTGGGAGATCCTGGACAGATTTGAGATATTGTTTTTGAAAACAAAGCTCTGATGGACTTGAAACAACTTGGAAAACTGCATCACCCCCTGTGAGAAGCTCCAAGTCAGCAGAGGCACCACTGCCAATGTGGTATGAGAGGAAGGTGGCTGGTTACTCACTGTAAAGATTTCTTGGGTATGATGCTTTTCCAATTTGGAGTCAAAAAGCCTAAAATAACTGGATTTTGACAGCTTGTTACAAGGTCTGTTAGTTTTTCCCATCACTGAGATCAGTTAGGTAGGGTGGCATCTTATTGAGGTGTCTCTGGTTTACCCAATAGCTGACCCTTGTGGAAGGAGAGCTCATTAAGAGTCAGTATCTGAAATGCTGAATAACTGGCTGAACTTCCAGACATTTAGTGTCACCATGTTCTTTGCTGTAAGTACAGATTTGTGTGTTTCAACAGCTTGAAACCTCACACAGACCTGGGTTTGGGCATCCTCTTGAGGCAGCGTGTCCCTGCCTGGGCAGGAATGTGCTGAGAAATTGCTCTGACAGTCTCTCTTCAGTGACCTGGTGTCAACAATTGACTTAAGGTGCTGTTGTTATATGTCCTGTTCCAGTTGTCATGAACTTCCTGAAAAGTCTTATTGTGGCCTACAGTTTTTTTTATGCTTAGAGGTGATTTTTGAATACTTGTTTTCAGTCATGCTGGAGGTTAAAGTAATGGGGTGGAAAGTACATTCTTCATGCTTGTAAGTGTTAAAACATACTGGGTAACAACTTTCTATGCTAATACCTGATGTTTTCAAGCTGTGTTGATATAGTAGGGATTGGATATTTAAATAAAAAACCCCAAACCAAACAGTTTATGTGCAGAAAGAGGTTGGTGTTGCCCTTAGCTGTCCAACACTGGCTTAGGAGACTGGGTCTGCTGGGGAGTGTCAGGGAGCTACAGGTGTAGGCACAAAACCCAACATGCTGAGCAAGGACTCTTTCAACCTACTTAACCTCTAGGTCATGTGCCCAGCTGGCCTGGGAGCAGGAGTCAGCCTCTTCCCCTGTTAGTCCTGTTCTGGTGTTCAGAGGTGTGCACACCTGAGCAAATCCCCATGACAGGAGACCTCAGCTGGCATGGACTTAAAAGAACTTCTGTGTATGTAGCAGCAGCAGCCCAGCCTTGGGTTCCAGACTGCCTAGAGGCAGCTGGATGAAATGGGTCCAAGGGGCAAGTTCAGTCTCTAACACAGCTCAACTCTTTGCAGTGTCCCTGCTGTAGGAGCAGGGACATGCCAGGGATGGCTCCCAGAAGGCAGGTGGGTCAGGAGGGTACCACATCTGACACCACCTACTCTAGGCCAGGGCTGGATAACTCTACAGTGGGCTCTGGGGTGGGAAGTGGACTGAGGCAGGGTCCTGGGTGAAGAGTCTGATCAGCCTTGGAAGTGGAGCTGATAACACCCTCTGGAGCAGTGCCAGAAGTGATCCCTAGAAGGGGCTGTGGCTGGGTGAGCTGCTCATGGTCTCACTGCTCTTTCTCCTGCTTTTCTGTGCCTGCCTGCAAAACGTTCCCCACTGTTCCCCCAGGACAGGAGGGAGCAGTGTTCCTCCCATGCAGCTCCATGGTGGAATGCTGCAATTAAAGCTCTGCTTGGAGAGCATACAGTGTCATTTTCTGTGGCCTCAGCTTTCGTTCTCAAGAGGCTCTGCTCATAGCTTGGCTTTGCTGGCAGTGCTTGATACCAGGGCAAAACTGTCAGCCTTTCCCAAGCAGGAAAAGGCTTTTAAAAGCCCAGCCCAAACAAAATAAAGATGTTGTGCAAGAACAGGGAATGAGTTCTTGTCCAGGATGGGTTAAGAGTAAATAAACTACTGCTTTCCTGGTACCATTTGAAGGACCCATGTGCTTTCACATTTGAGGTCTCCTGGCTGGTGTTCTGCCTAACTGTTGGTTCCTCCTTGCTAGGCACTTGTATGGTGGCCTGGGCCAGCTGACTGATGGTGTGCTGGGACTGGACGACTTCACCCAGAGCCACCAGTACCGTGTGTGGCCTGGCTATGACTACGTTGGCTGGAAGAATGAGAGCTTCAGCACGGGCTCTGTGGAAATGGAGTTCCAGTTTGACCGGCCGCGGAACTTCACCTCCATGAAGGTAGTCGGCGTTGGGGCAGGATTTGGGTCTGGCTGCTTCCAGATTACCCCTTTGGGTTCTCTTCCCAAAGCAGGGTACAAGGTGCCTGACAGTGGAGCAAGCCCACTGTAGGCTGAGTTAGAGCAGGAGATGTCCTAAGCTTGCCAATGTAGAAAGGTTGAATCTGAGGAGCACTTGCCTCTCCAGAGTTCATGCTCTCAGTATTTGGCTTAAAGGAATAAAAAGCAGACACCTGAATCAGTGGTTAGGCAGCTGAGATGGATTTAGGATGCAGGCTTCTCACTAAGGACTGCCTGACCTTGAGGTGGAGGAATGTGGCTGTGCTTCCTTTTTGACCAAAAATTTCTCTGGATGCCTCAGTCTGTGCTTGTACTGTGGTAAATTACTTAAACACTCAGGGAAAGGATGAGCTGAACTTTTGAGTCTTGTAGTAAACAGCAGGATCTTTTAAAAAGGATTGGTGGCTTTCCTTGTAGAGATTTCAAATGAAGGAGAACCCACCACATCCTTAAGTAAATTGTTTTGGTGGTTACTTACCCCGGTTTTATTTTGTCTATTTTTAACATGCAACCATTGGCCCTTTGCCTGCTTTTGCTGGCAAAAATAAGAGTCCTGCCTTCTCAGAGACTTTCCTGCTTCTACACTGTGATTAAGCCACTCTCTTAATCTTTGCTTCAGTAAACTAAGTTGGCTGAACTTCTCAATGCCTTCCCTGTGAGACCCAGGGTCATTTTTGTAGCTATCTTCCAGTCCTTCCTTTCTTTGCCAGTATTCTTCTGGAGGTATAGAAACTGGAACTGGATGCAAGCTTTTAATCAAACTGCATAGAAGGATGGTACCAATTTCCTGCTTTTGGATGAGTCTTCTTTGTTTATGAATCTTGTGAGCCTGTTAGTCCTCTTAGCCAACAGATAAGGAGCCAGTGTTAAGACTTTGCTGTCATGCTGAAAGTCAGTTCAAAGTTATTGGTGTCCAAGATAAAAGTCCAGTGTGGAAAGCATCACTTGTATTTTATTCCCAATTTCACGACCCCAAAATGTGGCAATCCTGAAAACTTCAGATTATTTTAGAGAACTTGGATTTATTTTTTCCCCATTTTGATTTATTGCTAGTGATTCTGCTGTCTTTGAGGCCACCAAAAAGGTAGCCAATAACCTTGAGTTAGGAAGATTCTTTTTGTCAGAAAAACTGCTAAGGAGGAATTTGTGCCTTAAAATTTGTAAGACTTACTAACTGACAATTTTTAATCAAATAGGTCTCATTCATGAGTTCATGCTATGCTAATTGGAGTCAGATGTTACGACGAGTAAATCAAACATCTTACAAAAGTCTGTCATGTAAACACAGCCATCCTGATCAACCCACACAGAAGCTCATAAAAACAAGCTACTTCATCTGGTATTTCATTATAAAGCTGTATTGATTAGCATAAATTATTCTTAATTATTTGTTGAATGTTGCCTGTTTCAGCCTTGCATTTATTTTCTACAGGCTAGGTGGGCTGTAAGTACTTTTTTTGTATCTTCATACCTGTTAGTTATCCCAGGGTTCTGAACCTCCCCAGTATCCAAGAAACTGTTAAAAAATAAACATTAGCAAATATTGCAAATTAATTTTACATTTTGTAAAATTGGACTTTATTAGGTGGTGTTGGAATAGAAAGTGTCTCTGAAGCAGCCCAAGATGTGGACATGTCCAACTCCTGTCCAAATATGGCCCAGATTGTGCATTGGAGGCATCAGGCTTTCCTGCCTTGTTCTGGATGACTATTTCTCCTTATTGAATAACATTGTCTAAGCTTCATCTGTTCCTAATTATATGCAAATACCCTTCTTTTGTCTTCTCACTGCTCATCAGGCCTGTCATCCTCATTACTGCTTCACTGCTATTCACTGCAAGGCCTCACAGAGGCCAAGCAATTAATAGGGTTCAAAGCTGCACTTTGCTTAGGAACTGTTGTTGTCACAGTTGCTAATACTCCACAGTCATTAGGAAGTAATTCTGAGTCTCCAGGGAGGGTTGGACCACCATGGCTATGAAAATGAGGTGGGCTGAGGGACACTGAAGACTTTAAGGGTCATCTTATTCCTTCTGGTTCCTGGCCACAGTGCCAAGATGCTGTGGTCCAGATCTTCAGGACTGTGTGGCAGAACTTCAGCCAGGGTGGTTGTTGGTTTAAAAAGGTGCTGAGTGATTTGTGTGGAATAAAGGACAGTGGAACAGTGTTAATGGGTCCTTCCCAGCCCTGTCCCTCTGCTGAGCCTCCTTCCATGGGAGTATGCCAGGTGGTGATGGGGTCTGCAGGGCCACAACCTAGGGGGATGGAGATGTTACTTTTATGCTGGAGCTTCGTGGTTTGGATGCAGCCCAAGAGCAGGAAGGGAGAAAGTTGCTACCTGCTCTTGGGAGGGCAAAACAAAGCTCCCAAATAGAGGTGTAAGGTCAGCCTGAAAGCAGTCTGTGAACTGCCCAGTCTGGGAGCAGACTCTGGGGAGCTGTAACTCGGAGATGAGGGGCTCCCTTTGTTTAGGTGAGATGGTTGCTGGGCAGCCCAGTGACTCCAGTTTAAATTCCAGTATCACTGGTTAAATTGGTGGTGCCACTGCAGCAGGGAGAACCCGGTGATGAGCCAGCAGGAGAGGCTGGTGGATAAAGGCCTACCTAGTGGTTTTCTTATAACTTGGATCTTTGGTTGCCTTCAAGGTGCAACCACAGCAGAAGAGCTGCTGTATGCCAGGGGAATATCTCCCTGACCTTGGACCATTTCTTTTGGGTTTTTTTGAAGATATTAGCTTAGGCTGCAGATGCTGAACGCTTTCTAAA